CATTCCGCTAGTTTTTCAAATTGGTATGTTTCGTCGGGCCGCGAAGAAATAAAGAGCTGAATATCATTAGTATAACAGTGAAAGCTAACACCATGTTTCCTGATGATATTTCCCAAGGGTAACATGTAAAGCGTGAAAAGCAACGGTCCTCGTACTGAGCCTTGTGGTACTCCATACTGCACTTGTGATCGATATGATACCTCTTCATTCACAATCAGACGATAAGAGCAGTTCATTTGTAACAAGTAAATGAAGGATTATTTTTTATCAACTGGTATCAGCTATATAAGATCTACTGTAAATTAGAAAATCATATACCAATTAGACTTGTGCCGGTATTCGGTAATGCGATATATCACGGTAATGAATATGCATGGTATTGTTATCTGGGCACTTCTAAATACCGTGAATAATTATATATTACAAATTATTCAGAATTTTGAATGCATTTTAAGAATACTTTTCCCATCAACTGGTCAAAATGCACAACACAGCTGTATTCTGCGTGAAAGACGCGTGCGCACTCTGATGTAAACAAGTGCGGACGCGAAGCACATGGCGGAACATGTGAGCGACGCTCTGGATGAAAGCGCACTTTCACTCTCTGACAGCTGATGGCGCTAAACTGCAGAAATAATAATGATAATAATAATAATAATAATAATTCATTTAAATGCAGCCGTTACCCCGGAAACCCTGTAAACAAAGCAGCTGCACTACTTTCTGTCTCTGAATCGTGTTTAAATGTTTTAAACAGCCATTCAGATTTGTGTATTTGCTATGATGTTCATCACAGCGCCAAATACTTAAATATTTAGACTTAATAGGCTATTTATTTTCAAACTTTTTTAAAATTTTAATCTGGACTACAACATGCCCTAGATATTGTTTGAAAGTGTTTTGATTCTTTATTGTTCGGTCACACTTTACATTAGGGCTTCATTAGTTAACATTAGTTAATTCATTAGTTAATCCCTGAAATATTGGCACAATAATTTGAAATTTAAAGTTGCAATAAATAAAATCCCAATTAACAAAACAAAACCCTTGAATCTAAACTATTAATGTACTGTAACAAAGCAATCAAGTATTCACAATAATATTCCCAACATAATAGTCAGTGTATCCCCAAAGGTATCTCAGTGGTGTAGAGGTCATGGCAACAGAAGAACTACTCCACTTTACATAACAGTAATATATGAAATGAGTCTTCAGGAACTAAACGTCTGACTAGGAGTGAGAAGAAAAATGTGCGTCTTTAACTTGAGAACCTAGGAAATTGAGTCTGTGGCCTGATATGATCATTTCAAAAGCACATTCAGATCATTAGACCCTTAAGACCCATTACTGAGAATCGCACACACTTCAGAACAGTGTCTGATCTCTGGGCTGGCTTTGACCTACAGTGGGTTTGTGCTGTGCTTGAATCTCACTGATTGACAGGATCCTCCAGCAGTCCATACTTGCCCTCAAGTACCTGAACTGTAGCAGAGAGAGCACTGCAAGAGAGAAGAGAAGAGGCATTTTATTTGAAGTGGGGAAGTGCCAGGATGGTTGACTACATGACTAGCTCTGTTTTGGGACAAAGACAAGACGTCTCATTTTGGTGTTCGCATCAAATTAAACTTAAAGGGGTCATATGATGCGATTTCAATTTTTCCTTTCTCTTTGGAGTGTTACAAGCTCTTGGTGCATAAAGAAGATCTGTAAAGTTGCAAAGACTAAAGTCTCAAATCCAAAGAGATATTCTTTATAAAAGTTAAGAGTCAGCCACGCCTACCTAAAACGGCTCGTTCTAACACACCCCACATGTCTACGTCACGATGTGAGAAGATTTGCATAACGCCGCCCAAACGTTCACGCAAAGAAAGAAGGCGTAACTTATATTCTCGCTGTAGTATTGTTGACGCTGCAGCCATGTCCTGAAGACGCTGTGTGCTTCGTTGTGAAAGCGAAACTACTTTGTCTGGCCTTCCAAAAGGGGACGATATCTGCTTCGTCATGCCTGGAGCTGATCCGTGCTGGTAACTGAGGAAATACATCAACATCGCGCTGTGCATCGCCGGATCGGCTTTCACCGTGGACAAAGCGGAGTCCAGCCCGCCTCAGCTCACTCTATACCAGCCTCAGCGCACGCTAAGCCGGGGCTTCCCCTCACGCTAGGCCGCTGTGTTTTTCGTTGTGAAAGCGAAACTACTTTGTTTGGCCTTCCAAAAATGGACACGACTAGAAATCAGTGGTTAAGTTGTATTTACAACACTGTTCCAGAACACTTCAACCCAAATATTCAGATGTGTGCAGCACATTTTATGGAGGAGCAAACGTCAAAATATGGGTGCAATAATGTTCCATTGTCATTCAGCGTAATAGATATTTATGCAAAAATAAAACATACTTATTCTGACCTGTACTTATTACAATACATCAAGAAAATGTGATCATATTATATTTTAAATGATTACAAAATTCTTGCTGACAAATGGGCATAATTTTCGGTAATTATTTTCTGCTCAGAAAAAAAAAAAAATACAATTAAATAGGACACATAAAAAAAAAAAAATTTTGATTCCTGAAAACCCCTTTTCTTCTTTGACCAATATACATACAGCCAAACCAAAAATTATTCAGACACCAGATATAATTTTTTAATTTTTTTTACTAGTGGGTGCAGGACACTATAGTTCATTTATGTAAGTGAGGTACATACCTTTCTAACAAAGTTATCTGACATTATCAGGATGAATTTGTTCTGACACAGTTTAACTCGGAGTTCTGGTCACATTTGATTACAAACTATAGCGAATAAACAGTGATAATGTGTGAAATGTTGAAGGTGTCTGAATAAATTTCAGTGTGACTTTTTGGGTGAACTAACCCTTTAAGTAGACTTTTAAAAAGTGCATTTTGTAATAACGCCAAATTAAAAGTCTTAAAGTACATTTTAAATCATTATTTTAATAACCTTTTGTCGTGCTTTCAAAAAAAGTACACTTATTTTGATGTGTTGATAGCATACTAAAGCACAGACAAAGTACTTGATAATACATTTAACTGTAGTGTGTTCTTTAATATTACAGTTAATACAGTTAATATATTATGTACTAAATTGCAACTTCATCATTAAAAATGTGTAATTACAAATATTTAAATACATGACATACAAGTTTCAACAGAAATGACATTAAAGTATATTTTAGTTTACCATAATTCATCAGTACATTCAGAAGTAAAACAAATTTCAAATATAAAGTACATATAAAGATGTACTTAAGTTCTAATGTAGTCATGTATATGGAGAATAACTAAAGCCAACCTTGGTAAAAGGATTGAGGTCTCCGTTCAGTGTGGAGGATCTTTCCAGAACTAGTGTAACAGGTCCAGGCAGCAGATCTCGGAGCAGCTCCTCCTTCACAGACACCTTACAGAATCTGAAAGCATTCAGAACCGCCTTACAACACAAACACAGTACTGTGACAGCATCAGAGGGTTATACCATGGTACTTAGTCATATATTCCATGAGTCCATATGAAGTTACACTTACAACAATGTTGTTGAAGTCAAATTACCATGGTGCAATTTTTTTTTTATTGACATTTAACACCATGGTACTAAAAAAAAAAAAAAAAGTGCTCATTATCTGGGACTTTTTATCTTTTTTTTTTGCAAGTCGCTTGATAAAAATATTAGCACAATTTAAACCATTTTCTATGTGAACATAATGTAAAATGTAATTTATTTCTGTGATGCACAGCTGAATATTCAGCATCATTACTCCAGTCTTCAGTGTCACATGATCTTCAGAAATCATTCTAATATACTGATTTGCTGCTCAAGAAACACTTATGATTATTATCAATGTTGAAAACAGTTATTTTTGTGGTAACGCTTACATTTTCAGGATTCTTTGATGAATGGAAAGTTCAGAAGAACAGCATTTATTTGAATACACATCTTTTGTAACATAATAAAATATCTTACTGTCACTTTAAATTAATGCATTATTGAATAAAAGCATTAATTTCTTTAAAAAATGATATCTTATTGACCCCAAACTTTTGAACAGTAGTGTTTAAGAAGAGGTATTTCAGTAAACTGATCTGAGCACTGTGAACAAACCTGTAGATGTCCTGTACGTCTCCGACACAGATGGCTAGAGGATTGTCTCCATTCCGTCCTTTGATATCATAAACTCTCCTGACGGCCGCAGAGTGTTGAGCCACACAGGCCAGACCGTAGATGGTGTCAGTGGGAACGGCCACGACCTGCCCCGCTTTCAGAGCCTTGACTGTGGCGCTCAGGATCTCCGTCCACTCTGTGCTCACAACAAACACAAACTACAGGCACATCCCAAGGGCTGCATATTCTTCAAAATATTGATTTCAATTCTCCTCTTCTTATTAACAGTGTTGGGGAAAGTTACTTTTAAAAGTAATGCATTACAATATTGCGTTACTCCACAAAAAAGTAACTAATTACGTTACTTAGTTACTTTTTATGGAAAGTAATGCGTTACGTTTCTTTCGCGTTACTTTTTAAATCTGGACAGGGCTCGCTTGTTTGTTTTTAAAATAAAAAAGTTATATTTTTGGCAAATATAAAAGCCTTTTCACACCAAAAGTGAAACGAATAAGCCTTTGAAAAAGTAACCCAGATATTCTCCTGTAAATTAAAAAGTAATGCGTTACTTTACTAGTTAACGTTACTTGGAAAAAGTAATCGATTACGTAACTCGCGTTACTTGTAATGCGTTACCCCCAACACTGACTATTAATATATAAGGGTAACATAAAAAAAAAATATATATTTTTGCAAAACACAATTTTCAGATCCATCATTATGAAAACCATTGCATTTTTTCATAATTGTAAAAAATGCAATTGTGTATTTAGACAACACATACATTCCTAGCTATGACATTATGACAAATATTTTGTCTCTTTTTGTTAAACTATGACAAAAAGTAATTTAAACTCATTCCCACCACAGAACGTCACTCCAGGGTTATGAACCTCCTAATGTAGCACCAGTCGTTTATAACACAACTTGAAATACAGTACTGTAATAGGAATATTCAAGATAAATATCAGTCGTTGGACATTTTAGAGACAAATGACATAACTAGCGAGGGTGTGACGAGTGTACGGTATTTTAAGAAGAGAGTTGATCAAAGTGTTGGTTTATCGACTGAACAAGCACGGCTCTTACCCTGCTGCTCCCCGGAGCTCTGCGCTGATAGCCGCAGGACTCTCGTCTTCAGCTCTTTACACATGCTGCCGCTCCTAAACGGCCTATTTAAATAGGAATATTCAAGATAAATATCAGCCGTTGGACATTTTAGAGACAAATGACATAACTAGCGAGGGTGTGACGAGTGTATTTTAAGAAGAGAGTTGATCAAAGTGTTGGTTTATCGACTGAACAAGCACGGCTCTTACCCTGCTGCTCCCCGGAGCTCTGCGCTGATAGCCGCAGGACTCTCGTCTTCAGCTCTTTACACATGCTGCCGCTCCTAAACGGCCTATTTAAGGTGTACGAGTGAATGCAGAACACCGGCCGAGCGAATAAAACCGAAGAAGACCATAAACAGCTCAGACAGCATGCTTTCATAAAGCAGGAAGCCACGTTTGACAGCCCTTCAAAATAAAACACTTCAAAATAAAAGTCCCGTTATAACAAAAAAATATGTAAATTGCTTATACATTTAGATGTGTATTTTAGTCGCGCAGGAGCAACAAATTCCGTGTAAATGATCCAGGTGCATCTTGTTAATGCCGATAAATATAATTAACTTGCTGATGTAATTAATTAGGACTAATGACTATTTAATATAGGCCTAATTAAGACAGACCCCTGCCGGATTTACCATATTACAACCAAAAACTAAAAATGGCATCAGTTACAGGTAAGATAGTTTTATACATTTAAATAATCATTTCATAGGTTGGTATTTCTCATAAATGTCCATACTTCAGAAAACACCGAAGATACAAACACCCAGTTAAAAGATCTTCCTGCAAATCAGGTAAATTGCAATATATATATATTTTTTTTTGAAAATCACTGTTTTCATTCACTATTAAATGCATTTCTCAAACAGTGCCCTTCTGTGAGACATCTGGAGGCTCTTGATGGCGAAATCTCTGACAGACAGGAGCAGATCGAGCTCTGCACTATGATCCTAAACGACCTGCTGGAAATTCAGAAAATAGTTGCTGTAGGTGTTCAATGTTGTGTTATAGTGTTTCAAATGCTGTGTGCTGCAGCGCTACTCATTCAAATGTTTATTTTGGTAGGAAAGAGGACTTGAAAATGCATCACTTCGAGGACTGGATGACTGAGTTGTTTCCTTTCAGTATTTGAGACCCTACAAGTGTATATAAAAATAAAATCTTGATGTGAAAGTGTTGGGATAGAGCGCTTTCTTTCTGAAACGTGTAACTTTGTGAAATAATGTAACCACTCAGACAGGATCTTACTGGTATTGTATTGCTTTTTGATTCAAAAAGTTATTACTTTGCCATAATACATAATACTTTATACAAAACAAGCATATGAGAAAAAATTTCACATTATACATTCTTTAAAAATACAGATCTTTACAGTTTCCTCACACTTTGGGTATCAAAAGCAATTCTTATGGAAGCATTTGTTTCCTCTTTACCTCAAGCTTCTGACTCAACTAACATGCCAGACCTACTTTTCCTCTTGACTAGTGTCCTTTGATGCTGCCTGAACCAGAAGAAAATCAGAATAAATACCTATGGGGGAAAAAAAGCAACCGTTCAATTAGCTAGTTTGTTGACCAAATCATAAGCTAATGCCTTTAAAACACCCATGAGTGAATGAAAACGTAAAAACGATGATTATGGCAGCACTTGGAAAAAGTGGAATGATTAAAAATCAGGACTTGATGGTCAAACAAATAGTTCTTTCACCAGTATTTTTCCAACATAAAACAAATGCAAGATTTTCATGTCATGTGGGGGCGAATAACAACAAAAAGTTACATTGAAGCAGCAATAATTTTCATTAGGAAAAAAATAATAATATATATATATATATATATAACATTGCAATGCCCAGATACAAAGTCACATCAAACATAACTGTACACAACACAAACATTTTGATAGGCGAGACGTAAGGAAAAAAAACAAAGGCTTTTAAACATGAAATACTCAACGCAACAGGACACGGCTGTTTCTCTACATCACCACTGAATGCTCACACATGATATTTTACTCATGAACATGTACAGATGGAGTGGTTTGATGTTTTTCGATATGCTCTATGACATTGCATAGTTACCCATTTTTGTTAGGTGATGAATAATAACTGGCTTCGATCAAAATTAATCTTTCATGTACTTTAGTAAATTGTCAAAACTAGAGTCCTATGCGAAAATGTGAACAAACAATAAGGTCAGAAAGCATGTGCATTATTATTATTCCGGTACAGTTGCTCATCATATTGGCTGGACCCCAAAGTAAGTGCATTTATTAGGGAAAAACGGCGTTGTTCAAACAGATTGCACTTAGTACTAGGTTTGCACAGGTCCCATTAATAGATATTTAAAAAGAATATGTAGTGGATAAATAAAGCTACTGATTGAGTGACGTACACAGATTCGACCAGCGTAATGTAGCTTCACTGTCAGTTCACGGTTTAATTTGGCACTGGATAGGAAAAGGCTCGCTCAGTAATATCTATCCGATTCAAACTCTCCATGTCTACTCCATGCTGAAATGAAATAACTATCATGAGTTGTAAGGCAATTCTTGTCCAACTTGAGTCTGAAACACAAGGATCTGCGGAGAACTACATACTGCATAAGAGACGCACAGGTGACAGTAAAGGCAGTGCAGAGTCACGTCTCTCATCTCATCTCACACCCAAAGTCTGATTTCTCATAGTTCTATACAAAAATACAAATACAAATGCTTAAACATTTATCATTTCAAATGTACTATGTATTTACATGACGGTCATCTCTTTAGAACCTCTATACAGCAGTGGTATATAAATGAGGGGCAAACAAGCGGCGTTGAACCGTGGCTGGGTAGTGCACTACAAGCAGGTTAAAAACAACAGGTCTGATGAGTTGTGTCTGCTTATATGGTCAGGAACCCATAAATACAGAAAGACACATGTACACACACACACACACCTCAGAATATACCGCTGCTTGTTTTTCTGTATCCCTGAGCGGGTCACAAGAGACTCACGAGGGTTTAGAAACGGGTTTCGCGAAAGGAAAAGTGCAGGGAGACACTGATGAGAGGAGGGAAACAGATCTGTAACAAACAATGAGAAAAAAGAAAGGAAACCCAACCACATGCCCATCACAAAGGCAAACGCATTTGATTCCATCACAGAGTATTCAAGAGTGATCATATTTCTTCCAAAAATCAAAAGGAAAAAAAAAAACATTTTTTGCATGAAGACATTTTTTGCATTTGATTAATATATGGAGCCCCACACATCACATGCAGGAAAAAAATAAAATAAAAATCATATTATTGCGGCCATGAAATAACTCATTCCCACAAATTCTTAATTCATTGCCACAATTTACTAATTTAATAAACCATGGCCACGTAATAATTTGTTACGTCATTTTAACTAAAACAAGGGAATAAATTAGTAAATAGTGGTCACGATTTAAATAAAATTGAGTGAACAATTATTAAATTGTGGCCACAAATAAACATGTTGTGGGAATGAATTATTAATTCATATATATATTATATCCCTCATGTTATGTGCGGGACTTTATATTAACACATACTTAGACAATATAATTTTTTTTAAAATTAAAATCAGTCTAAATTAAATTCAGTTGAAATAATATATATAAACACTTTCTATTGTTTTACATTATTATAATGGGAATTGGGTATGAAATTATCACTAATATATATATATAAAAAAAAAATTAAATAGGGTTAATATTCTTTATGCAAAAATTCCCATTTTATATATATTTTTTGGATTGTGGGAAATATGACCCAGAAAATTTCAAGACAGTTTTGTGAGATTCACTTAAAGACAGAGTTAATCTGCCTAGTTTGGGGAAACAGAAAAGGAACATTTTGTGAAAAGTTGGATAAGAGAGCTACATTTATCCAACAATTGAGTATTTTAATAAATTAACATATATAAAATTAAATACTAAGTTATAGGCAGCCAAACAAACCTCTAAATTACATTTAAAAGGCAGGTAAATGTTCATTGCAGTTTATCCAGAATGACAAACTATAAAATAAAATATCTCAAAAATCACATTATTATTATTATTATGAGCACTGCAGCCTTCCTAATAAATTACACATAAAATACTTCAATGTTTCAATGTGCAGGACTTTTCCTAGATGACTTCATTACCCATAAACTGTGATGAAGGCCTTGCTTTTGAAGTCTCAGATACACCAATGAACTAACGTGTAGTGGGTTTCAAGTTTAAACTCAAGTACAGCATGTGGCCGGGCAAAAACTCGTTTGGTTTTATATGGTGAATCTCTATAATCGGATTCTGATCTTTAAATAATCTTTGAAATAATCTAGCAAAACAGCGGGGATAAAACACTACCGACACTCAAATCATTATGAGAAGCAACTAAACTACTTTTCCTGGTGCCCTAAACTGCTCCGCCTGCTACTCTCCCTTAAAAGTGCACCAAAAACCACACACTCGGATCAGGATCACACAGGCCTGGGGAGAGATGCGTGCCTATAGCAGAGGTACAGGTGTATGTGAGATACCCATCTGTACACGGTACAGATGAAGAGTGAGGCCTGAGCCTCTAGGGGGCGCTGCTGCTGCCGCCTCCATCAGGCATGGAGAACTCATCCGCCACCATCAGCAGGGCCTCTATTTTGGCTGTGGTGTCTGGACTGAGCAGATCCGAGACATCCATGCCAGCCAGGCCATCGCTGGGGGTGTTGGGGGTCACCGGAGCGGCCAGGTTGTCCTGTTGGGGCTGAGCGTGGTTCTCTTTGGATGGGCAGCAGGATGGAGGTTCTTCGGGGAGGGCTGGAGGAGGCGCAGCAGGAGGAGGCGACGTGTTCTTTGACTTCTCCAGTGAGGTGGCAGTACTCTTGTCTTTAGCGGAGTCTCTGCAGGCACACTGACACTGGCAGGACTCCTCCTGCTTTATGATGATGACCGGCAGACTCAGCCCGATCTGCTGCACTGCGTTCCCTGAAACAACCATAACAGCTACCTGTGAGAGACGCTCTCAAAAATATAATAGTGATTATTTTCTTTTTACATTTGATCAGAATTATTGCACAAATAAAGAGAATGACAACATATACTGTATGTATGGTTTATTTCCCCTCATCTAGTTTCCTGATTTATTATATTTGTCATGTAAATTAACACATTTTCTAAATGGAGAAAATAGGTAAAAATAGCAGGTTCTCTCAGAAGTTTAAACAGTGGAATTTTAAATAATAGCACCAAAAATTCCACCTATTTAAAGTGTTTCTATTAAGGCAAGACACTGCAGGTAAAAACTTTTCACAAAGTGTCGTTTCAGACTAGCAGAAATAAAACATCCAAAGTACACTTATATTTTATTACACTTTATATATGTGTCTGCAGATTTCGATCACTTATCTTTAAAGGCCATTTTCTCAAAATGAGTCAGAAATCCTTACTTCAGCAGCACTTATATACACCAAACATGACAT